TATATATATATATATATATATATATATATATATATATATAAAAGATTGTGATAAAAATAAATTTTGGAGGTTTAATAAATTAATGATGAATAATTATAAATCTATTTAATAATAAATTAAACAAAAAGACATAGGAGATTATATTATATATAAGATGAAAAAAATAAGGATTCTATAAACTTTAATTATTAAAATTATTGTTATTAGATTTTATTTAACAGCTAATAGTCTATCTTATCTTTTTGTCTTACATAATACGAGATGTGAGGACCAGTAAACTTTTACATTGTGTTCTTACATTATTTATATAGTAAGCTAATTTGTTGTTCAAATTTGGATCTTGATAGATACAAAAATTATTCAGAATTTATTATATTTGTTAGAAACAAATTTTACCAAATATGAAATGATACAATTAAAGATGCAATTAGAGCATCTTTTTTATATGTTTAACAACTTTTTAATTTTAGACAATTATGTCATTGGTTGTCAAATACTAGAAAAACACAAATTTATCTTCTTGAAAATACTTTTATTTTCACTGTTTAATTTCTTTCTACTACATTCACGGTAGAACAATCTTTTTTCATCTAAAGAATATGTTTTGCTGGAATATGATTTTTTAACTAATTGTTGAAATGTTTAACATAAATTTAATTATGAAATATTTATGTGATGCATTAACAAAAATGTTATCAAATTTGGTATCGTTATCAAGAATCAAATTCGGATTACCCGTGTGATAAGCGAGAATATTTATTATTACATTATAACAACATCAAATTTATAATGTTGTTATTAATACCATCAAATTTGGGATCATTGTAATATATTGATAAGTATTCTTGACTATAACGTCGATAATTAGATTTGATTTTTTTACAATGGCGTCAAATTTAATAACCATTATCCTAATATAATGATTATAACAAATTTTACTTTGAACATTAATAATTTTCACGTAATATTTTTATTTTTTAACAATAATTACAAATATAATTAAAGATAAACAAATGAGAATGTTAGACAATATATAACTCTACAAATAAATAAATAATATACTTTCAAAAAAAATAAAAAAATAATAAATACATAATTGAGCACATAACATGAAGTGTAAAATGAAGGTATTAAAAGGTTTAAAGAATAATATGATATATTTTTTTTAAAATGTAGTGTAACATATAATATCTTAACACTTCGATATGTGTGTTAATTTTAGCTTAAATCAATGCCTAAATGACTCGTGGAATTTTATTAAGTAGATAAACACGTAGCAAGGCAATGCAATGAAATATATGACAAAGAAATGGAAGGATGAGAAAAAGTACATACTTTATAAAACAAAAACTAAAAACCAGGGAAAAACAACATGTTTATAGAGTAAGTATAAAGACAAGGCTACTAAAATTCAAACTTCTTTTAATCATATTTTTAAAATTCAAACTTTAAACTCACTAACAACAAAATGTTTGCTACATAGGTTTTTCAAAGCCAAAAAGGCCGCATACGTTCTCTAATTTAAAAAGTCTTTCTCCAAATTTGTCATAGGTTTCTGTCTAACGTTAATTTGATGAGCACAGATGAAAACAATGTTTTCTTACTTTGTGAAAATGTTCCAATACATGACAAAAACTTAAATGAGGAATTATATAGATGGTGCATGCATGGTGAAGCCAGGTATATATATATGTGTGAAAATGAAGTTGCAGAGTATGTATGGTTGTTGAAATAGCAAAGTAAAGGATTGCATGCCATGGAAGGTGAATAATGAGAGTATTATATAAATTATTGGAAGAGTAGGAAAAGAAGAGCTGGGAAAGAAAGGATAGAGAATAGGGAAATTAAGAAAAAGAAAGTGTAAAGCTAAGTAGCTGGAAATGAGGGAAATGTTGTTAAAGTGAGGGACAAGAAGACAAGGCCTGGGCTTGAAATGCACGCATGTTTTTCCTACTAACCCTAAACCCTCTCTATCTCAGACACGACAACCTCTTTTCCTTTCTTTCGACTCACCATTTCTTTTCACTAACACAATGTTTCCTTCCCTTTTTCTTTATTGCGTGCCTTTTCTTATTGCCATTCTTTTCTGTGACCTTTATCAATCTTTGTGTACACATTATACAACCTCTGTCTTTTTGCAACGAACCACCTAAAGCGCCTACTCACTCTTCCAATCTCCACCTCTTCCTTTTAAATTCTTCTTCCCAACTGCTTCTAAAATTACTCTTGCATCTCTCATTCTTTTATATAATTCTTACACTGCCCACATTCACCACAACATAAACTGCTTCCACAATCAACAACCATCACGATTCTTTATAATCACAGTTCATTATGAGTTATAACGACACTTACACAATTAAGGACACCCCATTAAAAAATACTTAGAACTTCAATCGAAAAGTTTAATATGTTTTTGGAACTAAGTAACTTAACCTAATATTCTTGGAAAATTGACATTTTGTAGTTTATTAGGGTTTGGTTGAATAATTTAGACCTAGTTTGAAAGAATTCAAAACTATTAGCTTGTGAAAAACTTATTAGTTGAAGTACTATTTTTTTTTTAATTCACTAAAAATGTAATATAAACATTGGGTATTGGTTAAATAAGGGACTTCCTGAAATAA